ATGGCCCATTTTGAACAGAAAAAGTTTATACAACATGGGGTCCAAAACCAAACATTTTTAAGAAAAAGGCGAGGAAAAAGGCCTTTGAAGTTTTGGCATTTTTTGACGAATATTTAAATAAAGAAAATTTTAATCATTATGAAATGCAAAAAAATTTAGTTCTCTGAATTATTAAGTAACTATGCATTTTTATAGTTAATAACAATAATAAAAAATTGAAAAAACAACATGACAATTTTACTCATAATTCAATATTTAAATATCTGGCAACATAGCACATGGTTGAACTGATTAATTGATTCTTCATTTGTCTTGTCATGTCAGTTAGTTGAAGTATTGGAAACGCGCGTAATTCATTTTTTTTTTTTTTGAAAATACGTTTTCAAACGTCGAATATGCAGATACTTGATAGAACGGGACCCACCTGATGAAAGAACATTGTGCCCGTTTCGCCAAGGTTGCGTGATACGGAAAGCGTGAGTGTGTTGATTTTGGTGTTTTGAGAACCTTTCAACAAAAATCAATATTTTCATGATAAGGATTTGGCCAGTAGCTGAATGAGTAATATCAAATTTTTCTCTTGAATTTTTAGTGCAAAAATGTCATTGAGTGCGATTCACAACTTAATGAAACGGTACATTTTTTATTTTCACTAGAAAAGTGATAAAAATGCAAATTATTATTTGCATTATTTGAAAGCGAATAACAAACCAAAATGTAAACAGGTCGAAATAAATGAACATTGTTCTAGCAGCGATTTCAAACGGTACGGAATCGTACAAAGCTTCTAAACCCTAAATAAAGTATGCAACCTACGAATTTAACTAAAGAAAAGTGCCCTATTCCAGAAAAAAACTGAACTTCCTCAGACTTCATGTCGTATAGCAAAGAAGTAGAGGCAGGACCAGAAATAGTCCACTGAATATGAAGTCAGAAGCTAGTAATTTTGGGAAGATATCGAAGCTGTAACATCGACTCACTGAGGGAAACGTCCAATCTGATTGAATGCTTCACTTTTAGCGTATCCCAAGGATCAAAGACTGTTTGTGTTAGACATTTGCGTTTGACAAAGTGAAATAGAAGGTGTTTATTCCTAAATTTAAAACGGCGAAGAGAGTAGTACGGATATTCTAGTGAATCCCATGAAAAGCAAAAAAAAATAAAAAATTATTGTGCCGTCCAATGAACAATACCACAGTTGCCTCTGTGAACAGCATTCCCGGGTTAAACGGTGAATGGGTACCGGCTTCGAAGAAATTCGTTGTGCCTGCGAAATGACTAAATCACTTGTAAATAGGAAAGTGCAGATAGGAAAAGTCTAGTACATCAGACCGTTGTGCCACGGATCATGGTGGACAAAGTAACACTGTCTCTAAACTGCAGATTAGTTAGAGTGGTGGCTTCGGAGTCAATTAGACGTTGGCTCGAATGGAAGATCGATATCACTGGATCAACTGTCGCGTCGTAGCGATGTCAAAAAATTGTGTCAAGGATGCGAACTCTGTTGCTCCCAAGGAAGGACTCCAGACGCGATCTCGGGGATGCCATGGACTATTTTCCAGAAGAAGCTCCAATCCCCGAACAAAAAGCCATTAGAGTTGCTGGAGCATTACGTGGTACCGATGGAACTTCATATGGATCAGAAAAGTGATACAGACAAAAAGGTTCGTCCAGTTTATGTACCTGATGTCCATGTTAGACTCAGAGTGGTTCACGATGTCACCAGGAAAGGACTTCGCCTAGACGGTGACAGAATGAAGATGAACTCGACAAGCGGCTGTTTTTGAACTGCTTCGATGAAGGCTTTGTATCAGTCACGGCTAACAAAGGAACTAATCTGGCAACTACAAAGACCGCGAGATGAACTATGCAAGATCGTCAAAAAAATCAACAGTTTGGTGAGCAGGATTCAATTCTGCGAAAAGGCACACCGAAGGTCGATCACGCCCCATACAGAGGCAAGAATATACTTTGGATGAGAACAGGAGAACCTGTTTTCGTACTTATTTATCAACTAATGTATGCCTGGGTACTGACATACCGTAATTTCAGAGAAAGTTGTTAGAAAATATCTTTGGAAAAACACGAGTGTTTAACCAAAGCTCCAACACACTGCCAATTACTCATACGATGAGTTTTTATTGCTCTGAAACGGTCGGACTTGCGCGGGGTTTTGCTTTATGGGACAATCAAGAAACTAGAATTCTCAACCATTGTGGGTACTGGCGCAAATTCCAGACCGGTTTCGAGCTTTTCATGCTCTCGTCAATGCAACAAAAGCGAAAGCCCATCAACTCAGAGGAACAGTTTTAAAGGAGACTCACACGATAAGAAATATATAGATTTTTCATATCGTGTGGCACCCTCTCTTGTTATTCCTTTTGTTAATGAATTAACAAGAGGCCCATAATATGCTTGGTTTCCTCAGCTAATAATTATTAGAGGTGGGTTGATAGTGTAATAAATACAGAATGGCAAGGGCGCCACTGACTTCAAAAAAATAAATAATTAAATAACATAAAATATGGAAGGGTGAAAATTCAGGAACACACCTAAAAAAATAATAATCTGCAAACGGTAATTGATAACTCTGAAAAGGAAATAAATAGGGCACATATCTCAATTAAATAATTAATAAGTTTCAAACTAAATTAGCGAATATTTCACAGTGAGGTCAAAAATCAAGTGTTGAATAATTTCAAAATATAAAATCAATTTCTGGCAAAACACTTTAAATAAAATCAATAAAAAGATGTTAACTTTCAATCAGATTCAAGCTCAAAAAAATAAATAAAATTACCATGTACATCAATATACTTGCCATGTAAGTTCATTAACAGTCGCTGGCCATATCATCAATCTGAAATAAAAATATGAAGGATTTAGGTTTCCAGAAAATTAATTTAAAACAAAAACTGAATTATGGGAAATTATAATATTATATGGATGAATATAGCCAATTCCTGCCAGAAGATAAAATCAGTAAAATCAAATTTAAACTGTATGAACGGTTAAACGTTGAAGGTATGAAGGAGATAACCGAAATCCTCAAGTTTATAAGTAATATAAACCAGATGAAAAATTGATCAATTTTTGGCTTTATAAGTACTTACCCAATAATCTCAAATTTAGAAAATATTATCCAGCCTTGACCTCAGTTCAGATTAATGATTATGATTAATAAAAAATACATTCTTTTAAACATGGCGGTACCAAAAGTAAAGCAAAGATAAACGGTAAATCAAAAATTAAATATTTTACCATCACCTCGGTGTCAAGAATGAGAGATTTTGAATGTGTATGTAAAGAAAAAAAATCAATTATGGTAATTGATCATAAAATAGATTTCATAAAAAAAAAGGTAATAAAAGTTATAATTGAAGCTCTATACAAGCCTCAATTCCAACAAAAAGGTAGAGTACGGTAGTCGGTTGCCATCCATTTTTGGTCAATGGACGAGAGAAGTTGCACATGGAATTCTGCCTGGAATTAAGGCTAGTTCAGTTCTCTTCGTCAAATGTGGAGGCACAGGTTTCAACACGTGAGGGACTCAAGAGCTCTATGCCCACGCTGCACGAAAACGGCGACCTTAAGGGCTTGTTGCAAATAGATTTCTTGAGAAAAACAGCTTCTCGGAAAAAAAACGGCTTCCCGGTAAAAAAAACAGCTTCCCGGTAAAATCCTAAGTAATAGAGACATTCAATGAACTGTCATTACTTTAAAAATGAAATTAAAATGGGCTTACCGCGAGGGGGTTCGAAATTAAAATTCAAATAAAACGGTAATCACGAGACTTTTTATTTAAATTTTTTCGGTTATCAATGGATTATTGCCTTACGCAATTTTATTTCGCTAAGATAATGCCTGAGGGCCGATAGGGTACTTTTTTCCACCAGAATATCACTTGAGGAAGATGGCTTCCCCCCTAGGGCAAAGTCGACTGTTCAGGTTAACGGCAAGATTGAAAACGGACTAAGAAAAGGACAGAAATGAACAGGCAGAGCTTCATTACAAATAGCCAGCGGAAAATGTTGGTACTAAACCGGTACTTCAAATTTAAACGAAATCGTGCCCTCTAGTGTAATAATTTAATAATTGGTAATATTATTTTCAACTGAATCTTCTTTTTTTAATGCTAGTCATCAGACTGTCAACACTAAAGGTCAATTCTCACTTGCGCTTCACTCAGCTCGGCGACGCGATACGACGCCGCGATGCAAATTCTTGCTAGATAAATATTTCATTGGTTTAAATGAATAGATTCCCACCAACACTTCACTACACTTTACGACGCGTCGCCTTTAATCCAATTAAATATTTATCTAGCGACAATTTGCATCGCGGCGTCGCATCGCGTCGCTGAGCTGGGTGAAGCGCAAGTGAGAATTGAAGTTAAAGGTAATATTTAACTTATAAAATTATATTTGAAAGGAAAAAAAAGAACAAGTAACATTAGCAATGTTACACTCTTCGAAGTCCTACAAAGCAAACACCGAAAACGACCCGTTTGGGCATGAAAATTAGAAGTTTTGAAAATACATTTTGAGGAGGGTTCAACAAATTTGTCAGGATTTTTACTGTCAGGACTAATAAGGAATCTGAGTTTGGTGACATTGTGTGGAATAGTCGGGGCTAAATTCTGCCGGAACAATTACGCACTACCACCAGCAATAGCCCATTGTCCCCTCTGTCTATTCATTAGCCGTAGGTCAAGAACCATGCAACGGACTATAGGTTACGGATAATAATTCTCCCTGTTAGCTTTTAGCTATGGTTACCATCTTGAAAATATTTTTCTCGAATTGTCTCATTTACTTAAGATGCCAGATTTTTAAAATTTCCCGAGAAACAGAATGCCAACATATTGACGATGTTCGAAATAATTGTTGGTTCTATCCAGTTTTCGAGCTAATATAGGACAGGGAATTTATTCATTTATCAACTCTCATGTTATAATTTTTACGCGACTCATTAATCAAAATATGTTTATTGGTTTTCAGATCTTGCTAAGCGTAACACCAGCAAAATAGGACAAGAAGAGCGACTGAAAGGTAAAGTGACATCATCATTTGAAAACGATGAAGTTAATTCTCACAAAGAAGTAGAAATCCGACAAGAATATGGAACAGTGTATCATACGCCTTCTAGTCCACAGCTTTCTGGTATGTTTATAAGATATTTAATATAAATAAAAACTAAAAGGATATACCAGTACAACAATATATTTAATTAAGCAAGCAGTAAGTCGTTAATCAATTAAATATCACACCATAGCACTTGCGTCCGCTGAATTAGAAAGGAATGGATGAAACCTGTGGTGCGATATCCAATTTATTAATAGCCAGGTCTGCTGGGCCCTAACTTTTTAATTTCCCCAATATAATTTTTCTGTAGAAATTTAAAATTTTTGCATGGATGAATTTTGGACTTCACAGGGTGATTCCCTTGATTTGGCCTGTCAATGGACCTCTTGCATGAATTTTTTTTATTTGCTTATTGGAAAGAGTAGTCAAAATTAAGCTCAACTGTATTTTTTCCGATTTTTTTTGGACTTGCAAAGGCTCTAAATTTCGATTTGAAGTTCAAATTTCTGATTGGTCAGTTTTTGCCAGTGTTGCCCAGATGTTATGGTTTTCATGTAAACTTTTCCTGGCGGGAACAATTAAATCGATATATCGAATCCACAGATTTGTAAGTATCGGACGGAATATGGAATCGATTCTCATTCCTATGGAAAACTTAATCCAACTTTTCAATTCATTATAATCATTATTTATTTTTATTTATTTATTATTAGCCTGTCCAAAACTCCAAAACAGACAGAAGGCAGAGAAGGCACACAAACCATCAAGTAACAAACCATAACCCCGAGCATAATAATTTAATACCTTGTAACGTTTTCAATTTCTTGGCTAATAAGCTACCTTGTTTTGCCATACTGGATATGATTCCATATAGAGCTACAATGAAATAAATGAATAAACAACTATCTTTTTTGTGCCTAGATTTTGTTACCTTGAGTGCTGCCTTCTACTAGAAGTTTTTTTGGTTCATCTGGGAAGGTTTGATTCAGTACGGCAGGGCCCGCTGTTATTGATTAGAATCTTAGGAAAAGGAGGTAGTACCATCATCATCTCTGTTTGCAAATCCAATCAGTAATCTGAGGTTATGATAATAATTGTTGTTTAATCTTTGACTTTTCATTTCCATCATGTCATTGAACAGCTGTTTTGTCTAGGCGTTTTCTTTAGACCTGTTCTACCTTTTGATATATGTTCTATAGGCACTTTTCAACATTCACCAGTCATTTTTTACACAACCGATTCTCAGTTCGTACTTTTGGGGTGAAACTGAACACGTCCTTTTCTATAATTTTCTTCAATGTCAAAATTAGAAGTTTGACAGATGAAAGTCTTCTTCCGAAATCTAAATTCGAAATGAAGAATCTGCCCTTTTGATCTGCGACCTCACGCTGAGTAGTCGTCCGGTCTCGGGCCTCGGCCCTAATTATTTTTGGGGCGAGACTTTTTGGAATTTTGTGCCAGGGAGCTCAAGTAGACTAATTTCTTGCTGATAATTGTCTAGAGTCGTCCCTTGGTCATTTTTGGATTCTGTTTCGGACTGTTCCGAGCAGCATTTGGAAGTTTAAGACTTCACCTCTGGTCTAGAGTATCCCTCAATTTGAGAGTCCTAGTCTCAGGCTATAGTTGGACAATCCTAGTCTCAGGCTATAGTTGGACAATCCTAGTCTCAGGCTATAGTTGGACAATCCTAGTCTCAGGCTATAGTTGGACAATCCTAGTCTCAGGCTATAGTTGGACAATCCTACTCTTAGGCTATCGTTGGACAATCCTAGGGCTAGGCTGTAGCTAGACAGTCTTAGGCTATAGTTGGACAGCTCGTAGAAAGAAATTCTAGACTAGATCTAGATTGCTCTTAGTTGGCTTTGGTAGCCTCCCTTCAGCAACCCTCTTGGTAGCACTCTGGTGGAACCACGTCGAGTTCTCCGTTAAACAGATACAACGTGGATAGGACTCATGACTCACTTACCATACCATAGTCTTTCACAGTGAGACCAAACCTGTAGATAATATCCCTTCAAAACTTCTGGATTTACACACACCTTTGAAGATAATCAACACTTGTACACATGTAAGTTGCACTTTTTACTATTTAGGCAAATCTTATATAAATCACTTGATACTGATTTACGTTCGGTAAGTGCCCCTTAAATAAAATTCTAGAATTTTACCCTGAGGTTGCCCTAACAATAATTTTCACCTTTCTGGTGTTGAATTTGCCTCTTGGTAGAGTGTAACTGATATTGTGGTTCTAATCTTTCACAAGTGTAAACAGACAGTTAAAACTGTTTATTTAAAAATCAATATTTTTATACATTATTTACATTCATATTTTTTTTTTATAATCAAATATTTATAAATTGGTACAAGCATTATTCTAACACACATTTTTAATAACCTCCTGGCTATCCCTCCATTATTGTTATTATTTTTAATAAAGAAGCCAGATACATTATTGTACCTAATTAGTTGTTTTATTGATAAGCTCTCCAATTGCACAGGTTTTGTTTAAACATCATTAGGTTATCTTCCTAGTTAAGTCACAATTAACTTGGTGGCGCCCAAAGGTAAGATGTATACAAGGAACACATAGACCCATGGCCTCCGAACTGAAGCTGACTAGCCGTAGCAGTATAATTAGGCAATTGCCAAAATAAGTACGTTATAACCTTAGGTACTCATTTTGAGGTGTGTGCTTCTAAATTTTAGAGGTTTCTACGTGATAAGCATATAATAGAATGATTATTTGTAGAAGGTTGCTCTACTCTACCTGCATTTTACTGATAACTATCTACCGAGTACCTACCCTTCATGTGAATTTTTTTCCGAAAGCATATCTATGCTCACCTCTGGCCAGTTTCCGGAATCGGTTATTATAAACTCTTCCATCCTCCATCGCACAAACAAAATAAACAATAATTACCTAACTATTAAAATTATTATTATTTTTCTTTCAAGTGGTTTATGGGAAATAAAACACGAGTATAATTTTTATGTGTCCGTATTCCATACCTTCCAGTTTCCCTGGAGACCTTTTTAAATTTTCACAGGCAAAGACATCATTTTTCTTTTTTCTTCAAATTACACTGCCCCAGCCTGCTGTTTTTTGTTGTTAATTATTGTTTATTTTGTTTGTGATTTGTGATGGAATGGATGAACCAAGTTTGTAAAAGCCAGGAGTCACTGACCTATGTGCTAATAGTAAACAAAAATCGCTTTTATCGTTTTCGTACTTTATACTGTGCCGGATTAGTACAGACATCGATTTCTTTGTTTAATTCGCATTTATAGACAAGGAAAGAAAATTGTCGATACTAGTCGATACTTCAATTAATAGGTTCTCTTTCAAGTTTCAAGTCAAAAGTAGGCCTGTACCAAAGTCGATACGCAAAGCGATTTTGATAAATATATGCCTCCTTTTTTGTCCGATCAAAAAAAAAAAAAAAAAAGAAACATGGAAATTTGACAATCAGTAATTTTTAATTGGTGCAAAAATCTGGCGCAAAATTCAAATAATCAGCTTTTTTTTCTTTCAATTTCTGGCTTCAAGATTTTTTAAAAAATTAACCAACCATACTGTTATGTAGTACATAAAATACACTTTAGTTACAGATAAATTATATACCTAATTTTGATTGAGTGCAACAGGTCTATTATCATCTTAGGGGAATACTTCTGATATATATTTTTGCCTAGATGGCAAAGTTTCAGAAAAGTACCTAACCTCTTAAATCTTAGATGGCACGAGAAGGTTGAGTAGTTATTTCACAAGATTCATTTACTCTGATTACTATGTACTAGTGTCGGTAGTCGTTAAAGTGCTGCTTTTTGTCCAAAAAAAAAAAAAAAAAAAATACAGGAAAGTTTCACACTAATACCGTGGAGAATTACAGCAATGTGACATGCAGACATGTTTTGTTTTCGCTATTTGACATTTTCAGATGAAATGCTACTTTGATAATAGAAAAATACTAATATAACCACAAATACACGGTGGACTTTGGTAGAACTATTAAGTAGCTCGTAAATTCCTGAAAAAAAGAAAAATGTTAAATTCTTACCGGCATTTTTTTAGGGCTGTGTATAGGGGTCCGAGCGCTCGGACCCATATGCTGGACGATACGGGTCCGAGCGCTCGATTCCATATTTTGAAAGATGCAGGTCCGACTGATCGGAACCTGAGAGTCGAGGATATAGGTCCAATATTGAACCTACATACTTGTTGAAGGTTCCTTAAAATAATTAGTTAATAAGTTAGGCAGTAGTTTGAGTATTAAAAGAAAATACAATTTCAAATAGGTATCTTTTTATTACTCTAGACTAGACAATAATAAATCTACTGCGAAATTACACTTATTGCGACTTGGAACTTATACAATTATTGTAACTTTAAACCTACAATTGAAAGTATGTAATTTCAAAAATTATACGGTTTTCCGCCCTTCCCACATGTGTATTTAATTGAATAATATTTCAGGTTTTTGTTAACTGTACCTGACTACCATTTCTGGACATTTTTTGTTTACGCTTTCACTTTCAAGCCTTTCTACATATATCTAGCTTTCGCATAATTCCTCAAAATTTTATTGTTAATATTTTTCTACTGCATCTTCCGGTTCTGCAAAGGATTTGTATTTTGCCCCGAGTTCAAATCCATTTTGAAGTAAATTAGATAAGAAGATATCTTACAATAGCAGGTAAACTATTTTGAAAAACTTTAAAAATACCTCGAAAAATACATATATACCTACATAATGTAGGGTACATATAAAGTAAAACAATGATATTAGCTGACCTGCGTCTGCATAAAACACAAACATCTGGTTCCTGTTCGTTTACCAAATGATGAAAAAATATTAAACTGTATCATTCTAGGTTAGGTATAGGATGTCTTTGGATATAAGGTGACTCTCGAACCTCTATCCTCTCCTATGGCCTATTGTTAGAGAGCCGTGCGCGCTCGGATAGCCTATCGCGTCCACGCTGGCGTTCCGAGCGGTCGGACCCGTATCCTCCAGGGTCCTTATTCTTGAAACAGGGGAGCAACGTTCCCATCAGGAGAACGAGTGTTCCGTCTTTGT